TCCCATGGACTAGTGTTGTTACGGAAGCCCAACTACATTTAGTGGCCCATGTTTAATAATACAAGAAAGAAACCCAAGTTTGAACCGATTAAATGTTGTCTTGTTGCTGAAAGTTGAATCGTTCACCAGTTCCCGTTTACAGAGTCTCCGATCGAGTAATAGTGAGGTCAATGATTCCTTAGCCATCTTTGCATCATGCCAGAGCGCAAATTAGGATTTGTGTCTCTGAAGCCAGATATTCTATTCCGGATTGTTGAGTCTATGATCTGCAAAATCGAGTCAACCGATCGGAAAGTGTTCCGATGGAGTCTTTGGTTCCTCTCCGTCCAAATGTTGTAGATCGTTGTTTGCCAGGCAAGGAGAGACAGTCTCGTATTTTCTCTTGGTCCTCTTAAAGATTGCATGGTACTGATTGTTGAAGCCCAGTCCCTATGTGCTATTGTTTGAGAACGTGAAGCCACACGGCTCCATATAGACCAACTGAATCCGCAGACGAATAGCAAGTGGTCTCTACTCTCTGGTAGATTAGCGCACAACAAGCATTTAGGATCTGTTTGTAGACCCCATCCAAGTATCCTATCCTTTGTGGGACATCGATTAAGCACAAACAACCAACAGAGGAAACTTTGCCGAGGAACCCCCCCCTTTAATCCAAACGGCCCTGCTCCAGTTTACCAAAGGTAATTGTTCATGTAGGAGAGTGTAAACAGTTCCCGTATTGTAGCGATTCTCCATTTTCCCATCTATTTCCCATTCATAATAGTCATCTTGAGCCGTTAGGGAGATATTGGTGAGATAGGCATGTAAAGTTACCTGATTGTATTGCTCAACATGGAAGTCAAAGGGATTCCCATTCTGGAGTTGTTNTTGTTTGCAAGGAAGGTGATCAAGCTACCAAAAGGGGACCAATTGTCTGTCCAGAACCGGCAAGAGGTACCANTTTNCACCCTAAGNTTTATCCAATCAAAGACTGAATCTCTCATTCTAATTAGCTTGTTTGCTAACCAAGAATTTCCTTGTTGTTCTTTAAGAGTCCAGTAGTTGCTAATGTTCACGATTCTCACATTATGGTATTGATCACTCAAGCATAAGATTCCTCTCTCGCTACTGATTTTAATCGAGTCCATAGGTCGGAAACAGCATATCGAGGAAAGACTAAAATGAAGTAAT